TCGTTCGCCCATTCGTTAATCGTTCGCGTTTTTGAAAGCCTCGCTTTTTCAGCTTTGTTAGGTTTTTTCAGCGGCTTTCCGCACCGCTTAATGGCGGTGGTTTCTCGGTTGCGTTTATTCAGCGGTTACGACAAAAAGCCTTTTTTAAAGATAAAATAAATTTGAGCTTCAGCCTTCGTTATTCTTCTGCATCTAAATTAAATATATGTGTCCTGCTTTTGTTCTTATATTATTCTTGAGTTAAGCTTATTTTGCTTCTATTTTCCCTCAAATGTATATTGAATTACGCTAAAAAAAAATATATGTGTATATGTGTTTTAATGCATAGAACGTATTTGAATAGCAATATGTTGAGCTCGCGTTTCTAGATTCGATAATTATAAATCTAAACTATGCAAATCAGTCATTCTTGCAGACATTACATTGAAGGGTTTTTTTTTGAAATTAAGATATACAAGTAAAAAACAAAAAGAAAATAGTGCTGCTTCCGCTGGAATCTCAGTGGATCTTATTTTTATTCTTAGGTTATAATCAGTTTTGTTTCACAATATATACTAATTATCATTTATAAAAAAATATGTTACCTGCAAATATATGTGAATAATTGCAATGGATCGAAATCAGGTCCATGGATTTACCAGCCTATATAAAGCCTATATAAATGCGAATCAATCATTTTTTGTATTTTTACGACAATTACAACTATACGAAAGTCTGGCGATTTGATGCGTAGTGACATCTGCCGGAATATCAATTACTAGGACGATATTGCTGGTTACCAATAATGGCTATTGTCACCTAACTGTATTATCATTTAAAAACATACGTATACACATTTAGCTACGTGCGACGATTCGAAAACATTATTTCAAACGATGGCAATGCAAAAAGGAAAAGGAAAAGGGAAAAAGAAAAGGAAGACAAATATTTCTCTTTTTTTCCTGTCGATTATATGCTTCGTGACGCGCGGAAATCGCGTTCGTATCGTCGCTTTGACTTGACGACCAAATATTGAGCAAACAAACACCGTGGTGTCCCGTTTATTATAATCTAGGGAAAAAGACTATTTGCTTATATTGAGATATTTTATTGTTTCGACATAAGTAGCTGCTGTCATTCCAAATGTGCGTCACCATCAAATTAGAATCCTTTTGAATTTTTCCTGATTTGATTCGGTTTATCTGCTATTTTACTATTTCGCACGTTTGTGGCGGACGAGCACAAGGAACAAATCTAATGGATGACAGAAATCCCGAGTTTGCGGAAGATGCAGAAGAGCTGTCTGTTACGTCGTTGGACCCGAACGAGCGCAAATTAGCGCGCCGCATCCGCATTCAACGGCGCCTAGAAGCGTTAGCTAAGAAGTTAGTAAGAAATTTTCCTTCATGCTTGGCTGATTAAAATTAAAATTTAAAAACACAACAAATTGGAAATAAAAGCCCTGAACGATCAAGTTGGATCTTTAATGTTTAAATAATTCAGTGTGAATTTATTTATAATAAAATTTGGAAAGATTCACAAACCTCGATTCTCCCAACCCTTCAGAAATATTCCTTAAAAATTAAATAATCCGCTCACAATATGCAATGTGTTTTATTTGGGTGATATCATGATATTGCATAATTATCCCCCCCAGTAAACGAGAATGGATTAAAATGGATTGAAATTTTTTTCTTTATTCGAATGCCTATTTTTTTTTTAAATAGCGAATACTTTTTTTTGTATCTAATTGGATTCAATTGGATTCATTTAGATTCAATTGGATGCAATTGGATTGAAAAACTGCATTTCCTATTCAAAATTTTGAATTGAACAGTATTCGCAATGCACAGAAAAAGCTAATATTATTTTTAGATTGAAAGGTATAGGGATATGCTCCATGCAATTCCTTTAAATGAATAAAAATGCATCCAGGATTGAAAAGCATTAATTTTAACATTCGTGAATCAATTATTTCTGAAAATCTGAATCCATTTCAATTCATTTCAATCCATTCTCGTTTGCTAGGACATTTTCGCGATTTTGTCTCTTACTTTATAGCATTAAAAAATCGGATTCCTTCTCATATAAAATTACGAATACCTCTTTTATAGCAAATTAGATATTGAAGATGAAGAAATCATCGAGAAGACACTCACTGAGAGACAAATACTTGCTAGCTCGGACCTGTTGGAAAACTTGTCGTTCGAGGGCGATGAAGTGGTTGGTATAAAAAATGTTTATTTCGACTCACAGATTTGAATCTGTGGATCATTCATTATATATTTTCATGATATATATCATTAATGCTAACAAAAGAAGACACCAAACTGTAATTGTTTAATAAATTCGTGTGTAGGTGACGTCAGTGAAGGTGGCGAATGACGCTAGGGAGCTGCAGCGACGAAGGGAGGCGCAGGAAATTCGAAGAAAGTTGTTGAAGAAGCTCGAGGAAGATGACGAGGAATGTATGGAAAGGTACCGGAAGATCAACGAGAAGTGGTCAAACATTCTCGCGTCCAAGGATCCATTAGACATACACGCGGAAATGGAAGCTCAAAATGCCAAGTGTATGGAAATCTTGGAAAGGAAAGACGCCGTCATCGCGCAGTTGCGAGAAGAGTTGGAGAACGCCGATATTAAATTTGTTAATGACCAGAAAAGTCAAAATGAGGATATAGACTTATTAATCAATAGAATGGACAATCAAGTTAGATATACGAATAATTTTGGTAATCATATTAATACGTAACTTAATGTATTAAGGGCTTGTATATTTTATTTTAGATGAACATCATGACTAAAGCTTACCGTCGCGAATTATCGCTTATTAATGATGCAATAGACTCGGAGTATAAAATGCTGCTGGAAAATCTTTCGGAGAAATGGGAAGCGTTGTACAAAAAGTTACAGGAGGATAGCCTTGCGGGATTAGGCAAGCGGAAGGAAATAATGCAAGAGTACGAGGAAGAGATGAAGAAAGTAATGATCGAGCATCAGGAGGAATTCCGGGCGCAGAAAATTAGTTTCGAACTTGAGATACAGAAGCTTGAACAGGAGGTGGAGAACACGAAAGCGCTTTGTTTCATGAACGTCGAGAGACTAGATTACAATTACGCCGTGCTTAAACGACGAGAGGACGAAAATGTTATAGTGAAAAATCAACAAAAGAGAAAAATTAATAAGTTGGTATTGAATGCAAATTGAATTGTTTTACACGACTGAATACAGCGAGGCTATTCCTAGAGATCGCTGAATTAATTATGATTAACTGATAAATTGGCGTTTTTTTTTTCAGACTCCAAGATATTGCCAATGGTTTGAAAAAAAATTATGCGGAGTTAGAAGAAAACACGAGACTTGAGATACAGAAGTTCACTGATCAAGTTATAAAAGTGCACAAGAATATTTTGGATTTAATAGAAAAATCGAACCACTTCACAAGAATCAATGATAAGAAGTTTATGCAAATTTGGGATATGAATGAGGAAAAAGCAAATGAACTACTTGATAAAGTACGCTAAGGTAAATATTTTAATAGCATTGATGTTAAAAATATAACGTATTTTAGATTTTAAACGCTGACAAAATTATATACGAACAACTATTGGGCGTGGAATGGAAGCCACCGGAAAAAATCTTATTAAAAAAGGAAGATTTACCGTCTTATTGTAATGTGATGTGTGCAATAGAAGAAGGTAACAAAATTAATTAAACACCTTTTTAATCGATTGCGATATGAAATTTTCTGACAAGTGCATGCTTGCATTCTTTAAGAGAACAGATTGATCAACGAGAAAAAAATAATATGTAAAGCTTACAAACCGGCGAGCACCATTGAGGAAATCAATTTAGAAAGACAATTATTAAATCGTATCATAAAGCAAATTTCTGATCGTTGTGACTACTTGATTGAAGATAAATTGCTCGAGTTACTTTTACCTTACACCGCGAATGATCAGCTGGTCATACGATTAGATAATGTATTTCAGGTAAATATGCATGAAAGACATCCCATTTTATTTCGTTATAACATTGTATATTACTAGGCATTAAATATCAAGTCTGAGAAGGAACTTGGCTTTCTCTTAAATTTTTTTCTGCCGTATGCATATTGTCCTATGTGTAGCAAGGACATGAGCAAGGACATAAGCAGATCTATCGAGAAATCTTCTTCTCTGAAAATGGAGTGAGTAAATAGTTACAACTAAACAATGCATATATTTTAATAAGTTTGTAAGCAATATTTGAAATATTAG